GCAGGAGTATACTGACTCCAATGACTGCGATGCTATGTTTCCGCGAATGACATTCTAACGGTTACGAATCGTAGGCGAACTCCCTCGTCAATGCGGCTATAACAGATTGCTCAATATCCAAACTCAGAGCCGTGGTGCTGGATGAGTGCCACATGATTGATGATGGCTATAGGGGATATTTGCTAGAACTGATGACTACGAAACTCTTATGCCTGGACCAGCAGGTACAGATTATTGCAATGAGTGCCACGTTGACAGTAAGCATACCTTTGCCTGGTTTCTCTCATCAAGTCTGAACCTACTGACTGTACGTGTAGAACATCAGTCTCCTGAAAGACTGGCTAGGGGGCCACTCGTACGAGACACACTACCGACCTGTCCCTATCGAGGAACACCTCGTCTACGACGGCAAGATATACCCAGCAACCACAACCGCCAGTCTTTTGAAAACAGCCACTCAACTAGACACCAGAAATGCCACCACCACCACCACCACCACCACCACCACCACTGCTCAAGGGCCACCTCCCTTCACTACCTCCTCCCTCCAGCACATCCGTTTCATCCACCCCTCCCTGCACCGCGAGTTCAAAGACCCAGTCTTGAACGCCGTCGTCGCCCTAGCCAACGAGACTGCCCGCGCCGGCTACGGCGTCCTTGTCTTCTCCAGCAGTCGCGCCGGCTGCGAATCCGACGCCGTCCTGATCAGCCGCGTCTTGCCCTCCTTCCAAGAAGCCGACCCCCTTATTCGGGAACGCCGTCTCGACCTGCTCAACGACCTCCGTAGCTCTTCCACGGGTCTCGACCCCAAACTCGAGCAGACCATCCCCTGCGGCGTGGCCTTCCACCACGCCGGATTGACCACCGAAGAGCGCGAGCTGATCGCCAACGCCTACGACGCCGGTACCCTGAAGGTCTGTGTGGCCACCGCCTCGCTGGCCGCGGGCATCAACCTGCCCGCGAGGCGGGTGATTTTGCACGGCGCGCGCATGGGTATCGACCTCGTTGGCCCGGCCATGTTGCGGCAGATGCGCGGTCGAGCCGGGAGGAAAGGTAAGGACGAAGTGGGCGAGACGTATCTCTGCTGTCGACGAAACGACCTGGAGGCAGTGGTGGACCTGATGCACGCGGATCTGCCACAGATCACGAGCTGTCTGGTCTCGGACGAGCGCCGCATAAGGAGGGCGCTGTTGGAGGTGATTGCGATTAAGCTGGCGACGAGCAGGGAGGCATTGGACGAGTACGTGGGGAGGACGATGCTGGCTTGCGAGCAGCGGTTGGCGGAGAAGGAGACGGAGGAGTGGGAGGATCAGATAAGGGGCTATATAGAGATTGGGTTGGAGAAGTTGAAGGAGATGGGGTTCATCACGGTAACGGTAGATGAGAGGTTCGAGACGGCGAGCTATAGCACTACGAAGCTGGGAGGGGCGATCGTCGCTAGCTCGCTGGATCCGGAAGACGGAGTGTTTATTCACAAGGAGTTGGAGAGGTCGCTGAAGGGGTTTGTGATGGATGGGGAGATGCATGTTCTGTATAATTTCACGCCGGTGTCGGGTCTGGGGAATGGGACATCGATCAACTGGAAGGTGTTCTGGAACGAAATGGAGAAGCTGGATGAGAGTGGGTTGAGAGTGATGAGCTTTCTGGGGTTAAAGCCTGTGGTGCTAAACAGGATGTGAGTGTTGACGATGTCTTATCGTGGGACATGGCCCAACGCTAACTGCAACTGCAAAACAGGCTACAAGGCGGCATCCTCAAGGAAACCACAGACGAAGAAAAGGACACCGCCCGTCGCTACCATCGCTTCTACCTTGCCCTCCAGCTTCGCGATCTCTGCAACGAAGTTCCCATCCACCGCGTCGCGCAAAGGTATGATGTGCCCCGAGGTACCGTCCAGACGCTCGCTCAAACCTGTCAGGGGTTCGCCGCTGGCATGATTAAGTTCTGCGAAGCTATGGGATGGGGCGCCATGGCGGCAGCATTGGACCACTTTGCCGACCGGCTCAAGGCCGGAGCCAGGGCTGATCTGCTTAGTCTGTCTAAGATCACGTTTGTCAAGAGCCGGACAGCACGGGTGTTCTGGGACAATGGCTTCAAGACGGTGGCCGTCATCGCGAATGCGGATCCTAAGGAACTCGTGCCCGTGTTGATGCAAGCGCAACCGAACAAGGTCCGGCTGGAGGTCAAAGATGAGCAGAAATACCTGGATAAATTGCTCGCTAAGGCGAAGATTATCACGGATTCTGCGAACAGAATATGGCGTGAGTATTTGGTACTCTTAACTCACACGTCTATGGGAGCTAACGGAGTATGTGATAGAAATCGAGATGCAACAGGAATTGATGGAAGAGGAATAGGGGTCCTAGTTTCCTCAAGCTGTGAAGCCCCAATAAACGATAAACGCTGGATGAAGCAATCGGCCTTGTTTTGTGATATACCTCTAGCCATAACTACCAGGGGTCATCTGCGCTCCTCAGATCAAGATCCATGCTCAGATGTGTAACGACATTCAACAGCTCGAAACAGTAGTCTACGCGTCATCCCGGATTCAGAGACAGAAATATGCCTGTTCACAGCATAGGCAGTGTGCACATATGTATGGTCGCAATTCAAGCCGATCAGCAGTCTGGATTCTCGAGTGAAAGAAAGACAGAAAAAAGGACTCTGGTCCCAACAGCCGGGAAGAATGGAACGGCTTCGTAGTCGAAAATCCTATACCTAGCCTTCTCATCCGGCCCGGTCAAAAGTCAATCAGGCCACATTGTACTTCTCATCATACCTAACACGATGGGATGGACACATACAAGGGAATCCCGCATTGGTATCAATCAGCAGGCCTTGAAAGAAACCTCCTCGCCGCGGCGGAAAATGGTCGCCAAGCCAGCCACAATCACTTCATCAGACCCTGCTTTAGGGAGAGACAAGGTAGGCATAGGCAATTAGGGAAGTAAATGTATCAGGCATCTTCCAGAACTTGATCATTTTCATTATCCGTCCGTGTTACACCCATAGCCATGGTCAATACGTTGTGGCGTGTGTGGGTGTGGTCCCACTCTGGGTTTGGTGTTTCCTTTGAAGTGGTACGACAGCTACCATCCTCTCCTCGCTGGAAACTTGATGTTTTTCTCTCGACCTAGCCCGTGTATCACCAGGGTTAGAGGCACAGGGGACCTTGTCTTGTATGACCTCCGTTTGCCTCTATGTCCATCACATCTTCTTTGTTCTGCTTCATGCAAGAGAACGAAGATGCGCCATGTCATGTCGATGGACATGTAATCTTGCATCTCTCTCATTTCTTTCTCGACCTGCACAGCATGGGCTACCTGTCCCTTTTTGTAAATTTGTGGGAATTTCATTGGGCCGTCAGCATGGGCAACAACCCAGTAAGTAAGACCGAACGAGTTCTCATGGCCGTTGTCAGCGCGAGGACAAGTGATGGTCTCTGCTTTAGTTGCTCATTGCAGCCTTCTTTCACTACTTCAGATTGTCAGAGAATTGTGTGTGAGGGCATTCGGGGTGGATGTAGCCATGTACCCAACAACATAGGTAGGTGCCTGGTGGTGAGTCATGGCCAAAGTGCAGCAATAACTGCACATAGGCGGGCATATACCCCCCACAACACAACCAATGCTGGGTGCCGGTGGTCCCTGCCTAGGTACTCTTGGGTCTTTTGGGCCAGCCACTGACTGTTTTGCGTTCCACCGGATCACGGGAGAAGGAAGAAGGAAGGAACGAAGGAAGGAACATGAAGGAAAGAGAAGTGCAGAATTTTTATGCAGTACGCCACATACCTAGGTAGGTTCCCTGGATAGTAGAGTCGTAGAGTATAGAAACCGGCCTGGGACGATGGCTTTTGTCCAACATCACCAGATAGGCAGGCATCTTGACCGAAATGTACCCTAGCCACCCGAGCCAGCAACACCGTAACCCCCCGTCTACTTTATCCCTGGGGCCAACCCGTGGAACCACAGTCACTTGATGTAAAATGATGTGCACCATAGTCAGGCAAGCGGAAAGAAGTGTGGGAATCTGTGTTGCCGGTGAGACCTCGAGACTCCGAAACCCCGCGGTCGATGATGGGATGGACGGCCTCTTTGTTCCGTTTGTGGGGTGTTTGTGGTAGCCTGAGAAAAACTGGTACTATACTAATCTTTGGATTGAATACCACATGTAGGCATCGGATTACAAGGGGGTTGTTTTCGGCGACGAATGATGCACCTGCATACACTACTACGGAAACTCAATGAGTTCATCGGACCACAAGTTGAAGCCAGAGAGGTGTAGTCCGTGTATCAGTATAAGTCGTTATTCCAAGATTTCCCGATTGATCTTCTCACGCTTCCTTCCCTTTACACCACATCCTCAGCCCGGCAAATCAAACCAAGCTCCTGATCTTGAGCACACCCACAATACTACCTCTACAACTCACTTCCCTCATTGGCTATTGTCACGGGAGTTGACCACCAATCTCGAAGAATGCTTGCATTACACAACATGCCCGTGGGTGGCCGCTGGGCGCATATAGACAGACCACTGACCATCACAGCACACGCAACTTACACGCACAACACAGCTTTGCGAGCCCCGAACGAACCGGAGACCGGGCTGAGCGGTTCCTACCTAGTTAGGTGTCTACACTGCCTACCTGCCCTGCGCGTGTGTTTGCCTTGATACAGGATTTTACATGAACAAAACCAAGGTGCCTTGTTTTTTTTGTTAGTTTGTGTAAGCTCCTCCCAGTCACGTACATACGGTCTAGTCTAGTCGCGGCTGTGGCGTTCCATCATTTATGCTCTAAGGACCCCAGTCCCTTTTTACTCTCATTGCACGTCACAGCTCTCCCCCTTCCCGTTGCCCCTCCTCTCTTCCGTTCTTTGCTTCTTTCTGTCAGCTAACCTCTATTTATACAACAAGTGACACCGACGGAAATAGAGATACCAGGCTGTCTACCTCTTCAACTACAACTAGAGCACAATCTAGATCTCATCTTCATCTCACACATGAATCAACACAACTCCCCAGACTCTGGTGGCGTCTCTGCAACCGCGGAGCCCAGCTCATCGAGTTCTAGTTCGATGAGAGCTAATGATACGATCAACGACGAGAGGAGCAGCAATAGCAGGAGAGAGATAGAAGAGATCCCCAACCAATATGGCGAAGGAAGCAATAGGAATGGCAACAGCAGCGGTAATGGCTACGGAAACGAAGACTCAAGCGCAAGTATCGTGGAAAACGAGGATCAAAGCCAGCAATACGCGATGAGAAGGCCGCAGACACTGGGCGATGTGATGAGGGAACCGGGATCGCGCGCGCCCAATGTCATGGTTTTGGAAGCGATGCCGGAGGAAACGAGTGGCAGAAATAGGGAGGCGGCATTGAGTTTGAAGGAAGATCTCTGGTTGAGTACTGCTGATGGGTGAGTCGAGAGCTTCTTCATCGATCGTTTAGGAAATCGCATATAGGTGTTGTGACGACCAGCGCAATATTCTGCGAGCAGGTCATCTTTTTGGTATTGAGAAGGTTGTCTTTAGAGAGTCAAAGTTTGTGAAGTCAAGCGATGAGAATATAACTAACATGAAAAAACACACATAGACGTTATAATTCAACGATTATCCCACTTCGGGTAGGAGAGGCGCCTCAGGCGCAAATATTTTACGTGTGTCAAACCATCTTTCCCCAACCTACTTTTTTTCGAGGGTTTTTTTTTTTCAGGGTAATTGACTTACCGCCTTACCGCCTGAACTCAGGTCCATAAGCATATCCTCCTAAAGGTCGAATACTTTGAGAAAGCACTCTGCGGCAACTTCAAAGAGTCAGAGACCCAGTCAATCGAGCTACCCGAAGAAGACCCTGTAATTTTCCATTACCTGATCGCCTTTTTATACGAAGGGAAATTCGAACCTACTAAGCCCGCTGCATCAGTCCTGGTCCCCGATAAACAAAAGGGAAAAGGCAAAGATGCCATGGAAACCAACGGCGGCGGCGCTGGTGGACTAGACTCTGAGAATAACAACAACTCAGATGACTCCGAGCTAGACACGGACCTGAGCGCTGCTACTGCTCTACGCCGGCGCCAGCAAAGGGAAAGACAGCGGGAATGGGATCGCGTGAACGGAAAACATCCCGGCCGTCACCGGCCTAACTGCGGCTGTCCCCGCTGTGTCGTCGAACCCGGTCCCCCTTGCTGGTCTTGCTATGCGCCGCGATCACCTCTACCACCGCCCGGTATCGGGACTCCATACACCCCAACCGACACAAGACCACCGCTCCCTCACCCTCCCGGCCCTGAATATCGCCATAGGCCCTACCTCGAACGACTTCTGCAGGGTGATGGGCTAGGAGCAGGTGCCGATAGGAGACGTCCGGGTGGTCGCGCAAGACTCGCAGCACCACCTCCACCTCCACCGCCACCGCCACCACTTCCTCCTACCACCACTCAACCCTTACTCCCCGCGCCAACCGCTCAAGCCTCCTCATCTTCCTCCTCCAACCAGCCCCTATTATCCTCAACCAACTCCACCTCCTCCCCAACAGAAGGCAACACCCGCCTCTCCACCCCCGCTGACCTGCGCACCTGGCTTCTCTGCTACGAACACACCCTCTCCGTTTACATCCTGGCCAACAAGTTTCTGCTGGATGACTTCAAGGCCGAAATTGCGCGGTACGCAATCGACATGCTCGAGAGCGCTGGGACCGACGCGGCGGTGCCGCAGGTGCTGTTCTTGTGCAAGCGGCTATGGGAGGGCCTGCCGGAGAGCGATCCTCTACTTAAAATGGTGTTTGCTAGGGTGGGGTTTTTGCAGCCTTGGAGAAGCAGGAGCAGTGGCTATGTATATGGAAGTGGAAATAGAAACGGGGATAATGGGAACGGAGAAAGGATCAATGAAAACGGAAAGAGACGCAGGAGTGGGCATAGCGATGAGGAGGGTATGACGAATGGAAAAGAAATGGACGAGGATATCGGGGACTGGTTGCATCAGAACCCGGAGATCGTGACGGCCGTGTTGGTGGAGATGGCGGCAAGGAGGGAGGAGGATTTCTACCAGACTCAGTACCAGAGTTCCGGGCTTCAAGGGCCACCTGGGATGGGTGGTTATATGAGCGGTATGGGTATGGGAATGGGCAGGATGGACGCGGGGGGCAGGTCATTGCCTAGCATGGAGAGACCATGGGCTGCCGCGGGAGCAGGCGGCGCGGGAAGACAGCCTGGTACAGCAGGAGGACTGGGGGATATGGGCGGTGGAGGACCGTTGCCGTGGATGAATCATTGGGAACCAATTAGGCCGAATACCTTGAGGCCTGGTCATATGGCACATCATCACCATTGGCAAGTTGGTGGTAGGTGAGACGAGCTGAGCGAAAGAAGAGGAAGGAGGGCGCTGATGGTCTTTGACTAAAGCGGGTAGGTGCGAAATCAAACGTATATCGGGTTAGGCAGAGAGATGCCAATGGGCGATCAAAGCGAGAGGAATCTAGCGCATACGAAGTAGGCTTGAAGTATACTCGAGTCAATTTTATCTATCCGGTGATTTCTTCCAACTTACTCGTCATCTTTATTCGTCTTCCTCAAGCTCTCTGTGGTATACAAAAGCTTCTGCAAGTCTTGGGGACTCAAACTGCTGCTTTCTTCCTCAGCCGCTTCCGTGGCCTTCAGACCACCGATAGTCACCTTCCAGCTCGACTCGGAATCATCAAATGACAGAGCGAGGATAGAAGACACACCGCCGTTACTGGCTTCTTCCTCCTGGGTCTCGGACGAGGTATTGGGATCAATGGACACGAGGAGCTTAGACTCGGCCTTGAGATACTCGACATCTAGCGGGTTACCGAGGAGCGAGAGGGCTTGCGTGTGTTGGAGGGTGTTGGCGGCGGTGAGGGTATAGATCAGAAGAAGGGGGATGCTGTCATTTCCGTCAGCCGCCGATGCACATGGCCCGATATTGGAAAACAAAGATAAAAAAAAAAAAAAAAAAAAAAAAAAAAAGGTATGAATTACTTGACGTACCGTTCACAAATCACAAAGATCTGCGTCTTTTCACCCTGCTGAACATCGAAAATCCTTGTCACCGCAACTTTGGTGACCTTCTCCGCATCCTCAGCGCTCGGGAGCGCCTTCTTCACCTCCGCCAACACCGGCGCCTTACCCAGCAGCTTACCGCTGACCCAGTCCCACATAAACAGATCGTCATCACCACCGCCGCTGATCAACACGTCCCTGCGCGCCTCGGGAATGCACACCCGACTCACAAACTCGTCGTGGCCCAACAAGAAGCCCTCGATTACGTGCGCCTGCGGGATGCCCCGGCTCACGCGGATGTGCTCGTCCCTGTCGGCCGTGATGATGTACGTCCGGCCGGGGTGGCTGGGGTGCACGGCCACGGCCACCGAGGTGAGCATGGAGACGTGACCCAGCTGGAGCGTGTGCTCGAATTGCGAGGCTTGCAGGGCGGCGGCGAGCTTGGCCGCCTTCTGGCGCTCCAGGCAGCGCTTCTGGTTCTCCAGCGCCTTGAGGTTACGGAGCGTGTGCACGGTGAGCTCGTTGGCTTGCGGCTTGACAGAAAGGGATTGGGCCTTTGCGACGTCGGTGGTGGGAGGAGTAGGGATAGCGGGAGTGGCCGGGGCGGAGGGAGTGGGTTCGGGGGTAGCGACCTCGGAAGCAGTGGTGGTAGCAGCTGCTGCAGCCGTTGGCTCGGAAGGCGTAAAGAGAAGAGGGAGGGAAAAGACGTCGCCGAATTTGTCGGCGGAGAGAATGGTCTTATCGTCGGGCGTAAGGGCGAGGGCGCAAGGACGCTTGGGCATGGCTCTTTGGCTCAGCTGCTTGAGGTTTCCGGCACCATCGTGCTCAAACACCCAGATGGTTTTGTCGGACCCGGTAATGGCAACGAGATGACGGCCGTCGGTGGTGAGGTACATGCCCTGGACGAAGGGCTTCTCGAGGACAGCCTTGTTGTTCTTTGCCCAACCGCCCTCGGTCTTTTGCTTCTGCTTTTGCCGCCTGCTGCGTCTGTTCACTTCTTGGGTCTGGCTTTCGGTCTTGGTCTCAGTTTGACCTTCAGTGGTGTCCTCCTTGGATTCCTCCCTGCTCTCTTCCGTGACAGCTACCACCTCGCCATCTTCGACTTTCCTCTTCTTAGCAGGGGGGCCTTCTGGAGCGGGCGATTCTTCGGCTTCTACGATAGGAGCTGGGGTCTCGCTCTCGGCCTTCTCTCCGTTGGTCTCTTGCTGCTTGACGGGGTACTTCCATACTGAGATGGGGTTGAAGTTGGAGTCGAATGAGTGAATGTTGCTTCCGCGAGCGGCAAAAACAATGCCGTCGCACACTTTGAGGACGTGGTATGGCAAAGCCATTTTGATGATGTAGGCGTGAGAGGCTGTTGGTGGTAGATATAAAATTCAATGCTGAGGTCAAGCAAGGTGAGATCGAGTGCACTTGCGTCTTTGATCTTCGAGTGTGATTCTGTGAGTGCGTTAGTACACGACATTTGCTACATGAGAAAGGTGTCTACAAACTTGATGTTCGGAGTTGTGATGCAGCCTCACTCCGGATATGGTAGCGAGTCACTGTAAATGCTTGATGAGTGAGAGTGAACTTCGAAGAAAGTCTCAAACAGACTTATTTACTGAGCCACATGTGGCTGTACAGCAGGCGAGCCATACACTGCAGCATCGTTGCAGTGCCGTGAGGCTCAACTGATGCCGCTATTTTGACGATTTTGTACTGGGGTACCTGCCAAGACCACACTCCAGTCGAAGTGCTTAAGTTGTTTCTGACCGTCTGATTGGCCAACCCCACTCAAGCCCTAGCACCCCGACGGCAGCACGGGCCACACTCACCCCTCGCTTCCCACAGACGGATCAACCAAGTCAATTGCGCGCGCCCGAAATTTTGTCCGGCTTCCAGAATCTCTCCTCCGGTCACCATACCAACTCCAACTTCACCACCAAATTAATCAAGAGAACTCCTCTTGCCCTTAAACATCCTGCCTTCGTGCTAAAAGAAGATATGGGGGGCAAGTCTGCTAACAAGGCCGGTTACTTCGACAAGCTGAAGGGCTTGTTGGAGGATTACCGGTCCATCTTCATCGTCTCCGTCGACAATGTCAGCTCTCAGCAGATGCACGAGATCAGACAGTCCCTCCGCGGTGAGGCTGTCGTCTTGATGGGCAAGAACACCATGGTATGTCGCCCGTTGGCGCAAGAGCGTCGCGCTTCGGGAAGCCCAGAAATTAACACCCATTACAGGTTCGCCGTGCCCTCAAGACCTTCGTCGTCGACACCCCCGAGTACGAGCGTCTCCTCCCCTTCGTCAAGGGCAACGTTGGTTTCGTCTTCACCAACGGCGACCTCAAGGAGGTCCGTGACAAGATCCTCGCCAACAAGGTCGCTGCCCCCGCTCGTGCCGGTGCTATCGCCCCTGCCGATGTCTGGATCCCCGCTGGCAACACCGGTATGGAACCCGGCAAGACCTCTTTCTTCCAGGCCCTCGGTGTCCCCACCAAGATCGCCCGTGGTACCATTGAAATCACCACCGATCTCAAGCTCGTTGAGGCTGGCGCCAAGGTCGGCCCCTCTGAGGCTACCCTGTTGAACATGCTCAACATCTCTCCCTTCACCTACGGTATGGGCATCGCTCAGGTCTACGACCAGGGCAACACCTTCCCCTCCGATGTCCTTGACATCTCTGAGGAGCAGCTCCTCAAGGCTTTCTCCACTGCCATCACCACCATTGCCAGCCTCTCGCTCGCTCTCAACTTCCCCACTCTTCCCTCCGTCATCCACTCCGTCGTCAACGCCTACAAGAAGGTTCTTGCCGTCGCTATCGAGACCGAGATCAGCTGGCCCGAGATCGAGGAGCTCAAGGATCGCATTGCCAACCCCGAGGCTTATGCTTCCGCCGCTCCCGCCGCTTCCACCGAGGCTGCCCCTGCCGCTGGCAAGGCCGAGGAGAAGGAGGAGGAGAAGGAGGAGTCTGATGAGGATGATGGCGGCTTCGGCGGTCTCTTGTGCGTATTCCCTGACAGTGCCCCTGGGTATTCGACGTTAAAGCTAACTGGTTCTCTAGCGACTAAATGTCTCTCTGACTTCTTGACTGAAGTGTTTGAGGCGTGGCAAAGTTGGCTTAGGTTGGGTAAAGAGACGAATGATCTTGGCCCTCAGCTACATAGATCACTTGCTACTCAATTAAGCACATCAACTCGGTGGTCTCCTTCTGATGAGTCTGTTTGCAATCTTGATGAAACTGTGCGGATACATGTGAAAATGTCCTGCTTGTTTTCTCAAACCCATCAGGTTAGTCTTCGCTTATTTCCACCATCCTTCCTGCTTTCCCCTTTGGAGTGTCGATGATTAGAAAAAAATCAAAGAGCTTTTTAACCCTGATTATCATTGATGAAAACCCATCACAAACAACTACTTTATGAGACACTCCCAAACACCCCCGATTTTTGTTTAGCTCTACATCAATCATACACATGGGGTATACAGAGGCTAACTCTGCTTTTCCAGATACATCCAGATTCTCTCAGATACCCTTTCAATAAAATCGTTGAACTACCAAACAGATTCTCGTGCCACAATTCCCAACAGTGACTTTAATGAACTCTTTTTTGTTTCACCGTGACTCCTAAGCTACAACTCCCTGAACTGCCAATACTTGCTGAGCGATCTTGATGGCCGGCTCTGGCAGCCCAGCCAGGCGAGCCACTTTCAGGGCATGGCTCTGCCTGTTCATGCCTTTCCGCAACTTGTGCACATAGACAAATCCGCCGCTCTCGTCCTCCTCCACATCCGTGCAATACATAGCCACACCCCAACTTGCACCCGCACTGCTCGCACCATCCTCAACCACCAACCCCTGCTCCTTTAGCATATCCCCAACCGCATGAAAATGCGTCGCAAATAACCCCCTACACTTATTCACCGTTAACAGATGATGCAAGCTCGCAAACGCCACAGCCGTGCCATCCTCTGGTGTCGTCCCCCTGCCAATCTCATCCATTATCACAAAGCTCCTCGGCGTCGCCTGCCGCAATATCGCCGCCGTCTCCATCATCTCCACCATGAAAGTGCTCTGGTCCGCATACAAGTTATCCGCCGACCCGACCCTGCTGAAGATGGCATCAACAATACCCAGCTCCGCGTAATCGGCAGGGACATAACACCCCATCTGCGCCAGGATGGTAATCAGCGCGTTCTGTCGCAGAAACGTGCTCTTACCAGCCATGTTCGGTCCTGTAATCAGCCAGATCGCACCTTGTCCGGGGGAGCCGATTAGGCAGTCGTTTTTCTGGAAGGTCATGCCTCGAGAGAGGAGGGAGGGTTCGACGGTGGGGTGGCGACCGCCTACTATGACCGTCCTTGTCCCCATCCCTTGAGAACCGTTGGTAGTGGAGGAATCGTGCAGAATGGGCCGAACGAGATTTTGCTCCGTCGCCAGCCGGGCCAGCGAGGTGGCGATGTCGAGCTCGTCGAGGACGAGCGCATTGCGACGGAGTTTTATGAGCAAGGTTACCACATTGGAGCGGAGAGAGGAGAAGAGAGCCGTCTCTTCGGAGCGAATGCGGAGCCGGACGTGGTCGAGGGATTCGCCGAGGGACGTCCAGAGAGGGTGGTGGAAGGTGCGGGTAGTCCGGGTGGTAGAGAGCGTGCGGAGGGTGGAGAGGGATTCGGGTTCTGGGGCGGGTTCGGGGATGGGTTCGCCATCGGCGTCCGCAGCATCGGCGTCGGTGGTGTCAGAGATGGGGTCGGACATGCTGTTGCTGCTGCTGGATGTTCTGGTGCGACGACTGGTTTCTCCCATCGCCAATCGAGCATCCCTCCCTCGAACGACACAAACATGGCCCAATCCGGCTTTCCAATTCAGCGTAAGCGACGGCGCCGCATACTTTGCGCGGAACTCCTCGGTGAGCTTCTCCTTTTGTTCCTGCAGCGATCTGAGTTCCGCGTGGAGCTTAGCCAGGGCCCTGTTGGCTTTGGGCTTCATGATCCAAACCTGGTTGTCTTCGCCGTAGTAATTTCGCAGACTCATTTTCCTGTTGTCTTTTGACAGATCCTTTTCCTGTTGATTTCGGTTTTGGGTCAGCTCCGCCCTAGCCCTATTACTCTTGGCCGTCGCCCCCTTGGGCAAAAGCGCCCGCCCATCCTCCTCCGTCCCTTCGCCCTTGACGATTTCCTGCGCGAGAGCAAGCATCTCGCCCGTCTCGCTATCTTCGAGCTGGTGTTGCTGGACGAGCCCTTCCTCATCGATGGCGTCCCAGATCCGCTTGGCGAGCTTGAGGGGTTGCTCGAGGCTTATGCGGTCGATCAGCTTGGTCAGGCAATCATCTTCTTCTGGGTTATTATCTTCGGAGGAGATGGTGGACTTTAGGTGGTTGACGATGTCCTCGGTGGCCTTGATGGTGCTGGCGAGCCGGAGGAGATCGTCGGCGTCACCGCGGTTGAGAGCGAATTTTTGGACGAGACGCTGAGTGTCGTGGGAGCGATGGAGGAGGACCGTGATGGCGTCGCTGAGATCTGGGTTTGAGATGAAGCGAGTTATGAGATCTAGACGCGAGTTTATCACCGAAAGGGACGTTGAAGGGGCGCCTAAGTCGGTCAGCGATTTTATCTATCGACATAGGCACAAAGCGGTAAAAGGGATTGCTTACAGAGCCACTCATGAAGCAATCTCGCACCACTTTTGGTCACTGTCCTTCTGATGGCATGTAACAAGCTTCCCGCGAAGAAGCCTTCCCTCATGGTTTTCTTGATCTCCAGAGATCGCATGCTGTTCTTGTCGATAGTCATAATTTGCATGTTGTCGTGGCGTATTGGCGGCTGAAGCTTCATGCTCAAGCCTTGAAGTCGGTCTGTAACATAGTGAAGCAAGACGTTGCCTGCCTTGATCTCATCGTCCGTGAACCTGATTACTGTTTCTGTAGGTATTTTTGCGTCCAGCATCGGCGCCCAGTCCTTGAGGGTTTGTATATTCTCGCCTTGGGGTGAGTAGGTAACGGGATATCTCTCCTCGTTCAGGACGGACAAGATATCGTGACCTTCGGCAGACTCAAGGGACTTGTCGAGGACTATTTCTCGCGGAGATACCCGCAAGAGAACACTGCCCAAGGATATGAGACTCGTCTGCTGGGTGTAGAAGTTGCCCGTGGATAAGTCTAGCCATGCTAAACCTACAAGAGACTCCTTTCTTTGCCCTGTTTCGGAGTTCAAGGCTTCTTGAAAACTCGAGCTTCCTTCCAACGAATTCGAAGGCAGATGTATGGCCATAATGTAGTTGTTCGCGTACGGGTCCATGAAGTTCTCATCGATCAGAGTGCCCGGGGTGACGATGCGAGTCACTCTGCGATTGTGCATCAAACCACCCGATTTGATCTGCTCTGAAGGGGAATTTCTGTACTCCTCCGCTATGGCTACATGGCGATTCAGGTCTTCGACTAAGACTTTAAGGTAACGGTCAAGTTGGAAGAAAGGAAACCCAGCCTAAAAGAAGGTTCATGATCAGAACAAAGTGCAAATAGGGGGAGTAACTTGGAGCTGACTTGGGAGCAAAGACATAGTAGACACACATGAACACAACGACAGACGGAGAGGATTTACCATTGAGACAGGGCCGCCGCTCGTTTTCTTTTGTGAGACTTTGAGGTTCAGAAGCGGGCCGACCTCCTCCGCATGCTCAAAGTACATCTCGTAGAAGCTTCCTACGCGCGTCAGCAACACGCAGTTGTCAAACTTTTGCATATTGTGGCGATGCTGTTGGATTACTGCTGGGTAAGCTGGTTCTTGGTCTTCCTGCTGCGGTGGCGGGAAAGACTCGTCGGGAAGGAGGGCGCCCTGAGGGATCTCCTTCAACCTGACGGTCCTCGTCTTGTCTCTTTTACGCTGTGTTGATGGCTCATTCTGCTCTACCTCGGCTGCCTCTTCTGTTGCTTCTTTTACGGGCAGTAGAGCCTCGTCGAGCATAGCAACTGGCGTAGTGGATGAATCGTCGAACTTGACAATCCTCCGCCTGCCCCGTTTACTCTTACCAGAGTCTATGTCCTCGTCTGGCTCTGTATCTCTCTGAGCATCCAGGATCGGATCTGAGGTTAGAGTAGTAGTCTGAGACACGGGTAGCTGATCCAGCTGCAAAATCGTCCTTTTGATCCTTTTGCGGCGAGCCGTCGAGGTGCCTTCTTCCTGGACTGACTCCTCCACCACTAGAAGAGGGCCGTTGACGGCGGATTCAACGACGGGCGGAAGAGGCAGATCGTTTAACTGCACAACGGTCCGGGTCTTTTTGCCGCGAATCTGAAGCTGAAACAGTCGAGGACAACACGGCGTGATGTCGATGACGGGCCGGGCGGGGACGGCAAGTAGCACGCTGGAGGGTCTAGACCCGGCGGAAGTGAGCGAGGTCTGAGTGGTCACATATCTACCGACACCGACAGCACCACGACCACGTCCAACAGTGGCGGCAGCGGTGCGAATGTTATTGACAACGCATGGGCGACAAGTGCTTTGGCCGAGAGACGCTATCCAGCGGCGCGGAACCTGTTTTGGGCGCGGGGGAAGCATTAACATTCGGCGTTTATGGCCTGTTGCCTTTCGACGGTTCCTGGTTGGGCCTTGACATGCGATGACAGAAAACGTGCGGTACTGATGCGACCAAGTATGGCAGATGTGCACAGAATGGCGCGCAGTTCCGAATATTTTTCACTTTTCCTGCCGTAAAAATCCGCGATCAACGTGACGAAGCGTGATCAATGTCGTGAGGCGTGGCGGTTGTAGAAGGGGGGGAAATGGTGACCAAAAAAGTGACAAAAATGGCATGGAAATCATCAACAATCAGGTGCAAATGGCCGAAAATGGACTTCTGCAACATGGACCTGGCAGTTGATTAGGTTCTTGGCAGGCATTTTGCGGGTGGTGGGGCGTCCTGCTGCCGTGCGGGAATGCGGCAACCTGGAACTGAAAGCCCCTGCCTTTAAAGGGAAAGTGGGAACAATTGTTTCTCCTCTGCCGTCCCCCTCACCCCGCTCGGACCCGACGCCAGCGCGCCATGGCTTCAACGCCCATCCCGTCCCGCAAGGTTGTTGTCGCTTCTCCCAGTTTGTACACATCCATGCAGAGGTGTAGTGTACACTACACTACAGAAAAGCTGGGTAATGCTTGTGCTGGGACAATCCCCGGTTGTGCCTGAAAACCATTCGGAGATTGCTGGAGAAGACCTGGAAGCTTCCTGATTGCAGGGTATGGGGTTGATGCGGACGAGGACGATGTCCCGGCACCAGGCACTAACAAACAGTCCGCCGAAAAAGGCAACAACGGGAACAACTAACACCGACAACCCGATCTCGGGTCTCTGACAACCCCGCGGCCAACAACGCTAGCAGCGAACTGAACTTCGCAGCGCAACATCGTCTCTTTCTATACCGATTTTGAGCGACGTGGTCTGGGGAACCTGGTTGCGTGTTGCCAGTCAAGTGGAATGCATGCCGATAATGTTGCTTTGATATCGGGCATCGCGAGACAATCACTCGGCGATAATAAATGGGGAATGCGCGAACACGGGACGGGAGGGCTCTGGGGTCATGATGATGATTTGCCCTTCCCCGGTTTGTTTTCTGTGATTTTTGCCTCTCCCGGAATCCGCTCCCGCAAGACCTGGTCACGATATAACCCGACTGACTGGGAACGATTCCACTTTTGCCAGACCGGTCCCTTCCATGTGGCATTCAACGACAGCTCATCGGCCCATCTGCCAGCACAATCAGAAGGTCCACCGTCAAACTGAGGAGGAGGAGGGAATTACATATCCGATTCATGCTCGGGAAGAAGGGCCTTTCACGAGACGTCTCGCATTGCCATTTTCCGGTTCACTTGTTCATCCGGGGTCCAGTTCTCGCTGACACCACAAACGGCCATTTCGCTGGTAGGCGCTCGTAACAGGACGCAATGGAGCGAAACGGATTCAGCGAGATTGGACAAACGCGCAGGCTACACCCGCGCGCACCCTACATACTGAACACGTCCGAGACTCTAGGCCACCCGCGCCCCGTCCAGTGCGGTGATCAGAGTGATTCAGGTCTCGCGTTATTAAGCGATGCCATGCTTTACCGATCAATGATCTGTTTCGCCTTTGATGATGATGATGGTAATGATAAGAACAGGACACCAACGGACGAACGACGGCTTGGAACGGGTGACAAAAGAGATTGCGGGAAGGATGTCGTGCCTCGTCTTTTGATTACATACTACGCTTACCATTGGTGATAACGGCCATTGGCACCAGCAGGACGGTCACGGCTGAATCCACGATCCGACTAGACCAGCCTTGACCACCAGAGACAGTCCAGGTGTCTTGCAGTGGTTTTTCGTTTCCAGTTCCAGTACTGGATGATGCGTTGTTGATGACGCTCAGATCTCGCAACGATCTAGACGCTGCAACCAGACGGCGGTCTGTTCCGAAGGACGATGATGTGTGCGGACGGACTCCTACCAACAGCAAAGAGAACGAGTTGTAAACGGCCAGACCAACAACGCCAACGAGAACCGAGACAACGTGTCAGCCGAAACTGGGAACCGGACGGGAGTCAAGCGTAGATTATGAATCCAATGATAGGGATCGAGTGGAAATGTTATTTGATGCTCATCACCATGGGAGTCCGAGTAAAGGAGAAACCCAAAGGCCGGGGAGGGGTGCCGGGATGAGGCCCGGTATGCACTGCTGCCACTGCAATGCCCGCGTCTGACTGGCATGATTCAAGTGTGGCCCGATTGTGCCCCTCGGCCTGGCTGTGAATGGTTGGGCCTCGGTGGCTACTGGTCGGCAAGTAATCGGCATCGACCGATGTTTGCCCATGTTGTACCAGTTCTGCCACCATTTCCAGCCTTGCCGAACCCTTTCTCAGACCATTTTCATCAGCTCCGCCCGCCAATCCTGGCGACCCCCGTCCACCACACCTTATCTCCTACCCTATTCTCGGCTCCTTGCGAGCGCTCTTTTTTGTGCCAGTTAGCTCCGTTGGTAGCAGTCATAGCGGTGATAGCGTCCCAAAGAGGCCCCAATCCTGGCAATAACGCAGTCTCTCCCTCGGGCCTGGGCACTCGGCTAGAACTCCCTCTCCCTCCTTCAGGACTGGGCCTTCACTCCACCATCTGCACCCGCAACATCATGGCCAAACAGACTTGCACTCGCCCGCCTGTCACCCCCCTTTTCCCAAGTTCACATCCCGGAAAAGGAAAAGGTAAAAAAAATAAAAATGATGAACCCTCAAAATAACATGAACCCACTTAACCCAGCATGCGCGTCGTAGGTGGCCGCCAGGGTCCAGGATGCGGCCCGAGGGACGTCTAAGTCATGATTGTCCTTGAGGTACCAACCATCAGGTGTAGTCAGTCAGCCTGCTTTATAAATCAGACCTCCTTTCCTCCCCCACCCTCCGTAAGGCTTCACCCAAGACTATTTATGTTTGTTTAACTTGGTCAATTCCTTTGTATTCCTTGTGCAAGGTTATTCTATAAGATCAGCTGTCCATAACCTTTTGCCAACGATCTACGAGACATCCCTTGGTATTAATAAGCCACCTCTATCATTACCAAACATCGCCTCAGCTACCCCATTATATCTATATCACCAACAACCTGGGAAACCAGTATCTCAAACGGGCAAAACATCGCTCCGAGCCATTCAACAAACCTTCGCACATATACTCACAACTCGGATAATAATCGATGGCGGCACCGATGTCGCATCCGTACCAAGCCCACGTCCCGGCAACACCTCCGCCGGAGCAGCCGTTGTTCAGCAAGGGCCCAATGTTTCCCGATATGTCCACGACAACAACCACAACAACATCTCGACAACAGGCCTTCTTCAACATGTTTGCCGCACATGCCCAACAAGTACGGGAACAGCAACGACAAAAGCAACGAGAGCAAGATGCGCAGCAACAACAGCAACAGCAGCAGCCAACCCCTGTATCCTCCCGGCAGTCCAGCAGCAGCGCTCCCGTACCACAATCACCACCACAGACACAGACAAATCTCCCATTTGGCATGAAGACGACATCCCCAGCAGATTCAACACAACAACAACAGCAGCAGCAGCAACAACAACAACAACAACAAGCAACCACGACAATCCCCACCCTGGACCCCAAATACCTCGCCATGGCCTCGCGCATCGCCGCCTACTACCAACAACGCTGCCAAGCCATCGCCAACTTCCAGCAGCAACGGTGCCAGCAGTGGGCCAACATGCAGCGCGCCAAGTGCCAGGAGATGATGCAGGCCACCATGCTGGTGGTGGCCTGGTATATTCGCGATCGGATCGAACGGCGGCGGCGGAAACAGAAGAGGGTGTTTAAACGCGGGTTGGAGCAGAGGGAGAGGCAGCGCGCCCTACTAGGAGGAAGAAGAGGAGGAGGAGGAAGAGAAAAGGTGACCAAGGGGGAGGTGGTACGGAGGTGGGTTTTGGATGTGCCTATTGGAGTTTTGCCACCTTCTTCTTCTTCTCCTTCTTCTTCTTCTTCTTCTTCTCCTCCTCCTGCCGCCGCTTTCACCACACCCACGGCGACGGCAACAGGCAAGGGAAAAGTACCAGTACCACCCCAGCCATCACCAGAAGTTCACGACCCCCTTCAAGACCAAGCTGAGGCCATTTTTGCTCTGGGCGGCAACGAGGTTGAGTTGCCAGAAACCAAGACCGAAGACAAGGATTCACAGTTGTTCACCATCGCGGATAACCTGATCAAGTCACAGCTGGCTAGAATCGACATTCCGCTTTTGGGGGTGCTCAACCTAGACGAGAGCGATAGCGAGGAGAGTTCGGATGAGGAGGAGTACTTTGAAGATGAGTATGAGGACGACTATGAAGGCGAAGAGTATGAAGAAGAAGAAGAAGAAGAAGAGGAAGAGAAAGGAAATGGAGAGGGAGATGATGAAGAGGAGAATGTGGGGTATGAATGCTTTGGCCCCGGCGTATATGGGAACATGGGCAATCTGGGGCCTAAGGTGAAGGTGACTGCTGTTCCTTCTTCATCTCAACATCAACAAGAGCAGCAGCATCAGCAACGTACAAAAGTGGAAGATGCTGTTGTTATGTCGCCAGAGGGGATGGGGTCAGAGGAGGTCCAGTTGGGTACGACGGGGTCAGGAAGCGCGGGGCGGAAGAGAGGTGCGAGCGAGATTTCGTGAAGCATGGCGTCTTGTGCTAGCCTCTCTCTTCGGTTTTTTTTTTTTTTTTTTTTTTTTTTTTTTTTTTTTTTTTTTTTTTTTTTTATAAATCTTTCTTCTTCTTCATTATCGTGTGTTACGGTGGAAGACATGTTTGATGGATGGGTTACCATATAGAGACATGGACTGGGGCAATATGGGTTTGTTTTTTTCTTTGGGTGGAATTTTTATAGCCAACTCAGTCGGTCGGTCGGTTTGCTTTTGGGGTCCGATTCGGTACGGTGAAGGGAAAGGGGTAACACCGGGGCGTTTTTGGGTAACGGGTCATGGTCACGGCGACGGTCGCGGTTCATTTGTCGGTCGGGGCGGCGGCGTTGATTCCGGGGTCTCACGGTTCACACACACACACACACACACACACACAAAACACCTTTTCTTTCGTACATTGCTTGGATGATAGCGTAGCATACCTCAGCCTACATACCTCTCTTTACCTTGCCTCACCTTTCATCTGCACATAGCAGCAATGCAATACTCTACTTGATGCACACATACACAAAACCCAGTCGTGACGAAAATTATCTCGTCGGTGATCTCCAATAATGATGGTGTTGTGGTGTCTTGTGACAGGTGGTACTACCCCCATTTCCCCCATCCTCGCAACAGAAAAAGTAAATTGCATGGTAACACGGACCGCACCTGTAGTCAATTGAACTCGAGTGACCGAGTCCGTAGACTAGTCGTGGCATGCCTGCCGGAACAACAGGACGACAGAACGGGTTGTTCGATGTCGGTGGCGTGGTGGTGATACAGACAGAAGAATCTGCATATACACACGACGAGCGAGGTGTGACACATACAGAACAAGCCAAATAAGACAGACGAGACAGGCAGCATGCAGAACCCTTCTAGACCCCCCCTCTAAATTGAAATTTTTTATTTTTTTTTCATTTCCTTTGGTTGAATCAAATTGAAGCTTTCTTACCTTTTCTCTTAGTGGGCATCATCTGTTGGTTGTTAAGTCTCACAAGAACATTAATGACAGGACAATGAGACAAGACATCAATACAACAACGACTTCCATGGTTTGTGTCCGGGTTTGGAACCGACACGCAAACCCAAAGACATCGATCTGCGTTTGATGAGGGCGACTTGGCGATCATGAGCCGTTTTCTGAAAGCTTGACGTACAGACCTGACTTGGGCATAATTATCATTCTCTCTTTTTCTCTCTGTGCGTGTATGTGTCAGATGCTGTCAAGGTTCCATTCTATGTCTTAGTTGACTGATCTTTGTTCCGAGATATCTACAATCAAAACCACCTTGACAGAAATGGGGGCCAAGCGCTTCGCGGATACCTGTTTGTACAGGTCTGCCGGCATGCACTTTGTTAGCGTGGTACCGCCACCTCGCAGAATTTGACTGGTTGGCGGCGGGCATGATACCAACCGTTCTCTGTGGGAAAACCAAAGTTATCGCCACATGCAATTTCACCGCGCTGACAAAGTATATGCTGGCAGAGGTGTGAAGAGAAAAGGCGAGAATGAGAAACACGACCCGGCGGAAGCGTATCTGATTCGCTATTTCAGATTGGAGGGGCGGATGGACGCTCTTGCAAGCAAGTTCGCAAACTATACCTTTAATGTAAAAAGAAAAGAAAAAAGAAAAAAAGACAAGATCATGTAGTTCAGATTCGGCCAAACTGAGGCCTGGAAAGTGTAGTGTGTTTCACGATGTATGGTCGGCCAACGCGGTTGCTGAAACGGGACGGGAACTGTTGACGTCTAGGCATGTTGTCGTGGTTCCCCGTCGTTTGAAGGAAAAGGATCGACCGACATGCGTGTAATGCGTGTAATGCATCGACATTTCGAAACTTTCCAGAGATGTTGGGGTCCGAATTGACTGTTGCTGTACAAGACGCTGCCCTGTTGCACTCACTTCATCTTTCTGCTGCAGAGTGCAGGCTGGAAGGAAGAATGGGGTTTAACTGCCCAGCCGCAGGCGGATCAAATCATCCAAATCAGCCCAGGGCAGGGATCCAATGGTGAACATGTGAGTGACTTCCATCCTCCCCGCATTGCGTCGGGTTTGTCCCCAGACCCCTTCTCCCGCCTCTTTGCCCCCCCCCCCGTGTACCTGCTGTTTTTCTGGTGTTTCAGGCGTGGCTTGCAGCGGATCTACCCCGGCCACAACCTGAACCCTCAGCCCTGACAGCACAAACGAGCAGGAACAGCTCAGCACCTGCGCACTACCTACCCTAGGCGGGTGGGGATTTGACACACCACCGGCCCTGACCCCCCCTCCCTCCCTGACCACCTCAGCAGCCCGACCTCCTCCCCAGGCTAACCACCTACCTCGGGGCCAGCCAGCTGCCAGCCTGCCATTCAGCGCTTCGCCTGGACAGCGATGGAAGGAAACATTAGGTTGGCAAGAGGACTGGATCCGAGAACCAACCCCCCGTTGGTCAGTCCCGCCGTCAGTCCTCTTGCAAGTTTGCAAGAGTGGAAGCCGGCATTTCTTCGTTTCCTCCCACTCCTAGACGTAGTTGCTCCTTCTGCTGCTCCTCCTCCCATCATCATCATCATCATCATCCTCCTCCTCCTTCTCGACCCTCGACCCGCGATTGACCCCTCCCCCCCCGCTAGACTTGTTCGCTGGCCTCGCGAGCCGAAACCATACGATACCAATACCAATACCGTCCATTCCAGTTGGCTCCAATGTGTACACCAGTTTCGTTAGTTTCGTCAGAGATATAGCCAAACAGACAGACGCTTTAACCTTTTTCAGCTACTTTTGAGAACCTGTTGGATGACTTGTCGTGTTATGACCTACGCTTGAACCATACTACCTTACCTACCGACGATTTCTAAACCTACCTTGCCTAATTCCTCTCCTCGAGCTTATATCTGCGCCCGCCCTCCCGGCAAGATCCTAGAATACTCGTTCCCCCGTCCCCGTCGACTGCTCAACCCCCTATCAAAACACCATATACCCGCGCTATATCAAGATGGGCGGGGAATCAGCAACTCAGAGCAAGCCCATCTCGGCTTACCCGATACGCGCACCCAAGCCGGTCGGCCAGTACATCACCAACATCTACAAGGATCGCATCAGTCAGTTCTACGCAAAGGGACAATGGGAGCACAACAATCTTAACGCCATGATGTACGAGGGTGTCGCCGAGGGCGAGCCCCATGTCAAGCTGTCCGTCTGGGATGCCCCCGACCAGGATCGACCAACCTTTGACGAGGCCGTCAAGCACGAGTTCAGAAAGACAGAAGTCGGCGCTCGGTTTGGTCCTGCCTGGTCGACCCACTGGTTCAAGGTTGTCCTCACGGTCCCCGAGGACTTGCGCGATAAGAGGCTGCTCGAACTCCACTGGGACGCCAATAACGAGGGCATGGTCTGGACGCATGATGGCAAGCCGCTGCAGGGCTTAACGGGTGGTGGTGAGCGTACCGAGTGGATATTGCCAGACTCGTTCCGTGACGGAAAGGAACATATCATCTACATCGAGATGGCCTGCAATGGCATGTTTGGTGCAGCGGGAGGGGGCGATATCATCCAGCCTCCTGATCCAAACAAGCACTTTCGTCTCGATAAGGCCGAAATTGTGGCTGTGAACCCCGATGCGAGGCAGCTATACATCGATATCTGGATCATTGGTGATGCGGCACGCGAGTTCCCGAGTGAATCGTGGGAGCAGCATCAGGCGCTGAAGACGTGCAATGAGATTATCGAGGCCTTTGAGCTCGGCAATAAAGACTCCCTCAAAAAGTGTCGGGAAATTGCTCAGCAGTACCTTGGTCCGGACGTTGACTCGGCCAGGGTATACGACACCAAGAGGGGAAAGGAACCGCTTGTTTTTGGTATCGGCCATTGTCACATCGACAGTTGCTGGCTATGGCCCTGGGATGAGACCAAGCGCAAGGTAGCTCGATCTTGGTCTAACCAATGTGACCTCATGGACCGCTACCCAGAGCTCAACTTTGCTTGCTCACAAGCACAGCAATACAAATGGTGCAAGACTCTATACCCCTATGTCTGGGAACGTGTCAAGAGGATGGTGGCCGACGGTCGTTTCCATCCTATCGGAGGTAGCTGGGTTGAGCACGACACCAACATGCCCAGCGGCGAGTCCTTGGTCCGGCAGTTCTTGTACGGCCAGCGTTTCTTCGAGAGCAACTTTGGAAAGAGGTCCCAAACATTCTGGCTGCCCGACACTTTCGGCTATTCCAGTCAGCTCCCCCAACTCTGCCGCCTCGCTGGCATGACTCGCTTCCTAACCCAAAAGCTGAGCTGGAACAACATCAACAAGTTCCCCCACACAACCTTCAACTGGGTTGCCCTCGACGGCACGCAGGTCATCTGCCACATGCCCCCTTCAGAAACCTACACCGCCGAGGCCCACTTTGGCGACGTCAAGCGCAGCATGTCACAACACAAGTCTCTCGACCAAGATCACACGTCGTTGCTCGTCTTTGGCAAGGGAGATGGAGGTGGCGGCCCTACGTGGCAGCACCTAGAGAAGCTTCGTCGCTGCCGCGGTATCAGCGATACTGTTGGTCTCCTACCACGGGTGTCCCTGGGCGGTTCGGTAGATGACTTCTTCGATAGTCTCGAGCGGAAGGCTGATTCGCTGGTTACCTGGTTTGGTGAACTGTACTTCGAGCTGCACCGCGGAACATACACTACGCAAGCGAACAACAAAAAGTTCAACCGGAAAGCCGAGTTTGTGCTGAGGGACATCGAGCAGCTCGCAACGATTGCCTCGCTCAAGGACAAGGACTACAAGTATCCAAAGAAGGAAATTGACGAAATGTGGGAGGCAACACTGCTCTGCCAGTTCCATGATTGTCTTCCTGGCAGCTCAATTGAGATGTGCTATGATGATTCGGATAAGGTATGTTTGGACTGGATCAGTTTGTGATGAAGGATTACTGACTTCCCTTGCAAAGCTCTATGCTCAAATTTTCAAGACCGGTGAGAGGCTCTTGAAGGATGCCTGCAAGGCATTAGGCGTTCTCCAAGTAGACGCCACGAGCGTGGAGCGCGGCATTGCCCTGAACACTTTACCCTGGTATCGCGAGGAACTTGTTGAGATTTCCAAGGGTGATTTTGCCCTTGCCAAGGGTGTAGGTCCTCTCCTTAAACTCGAACAATACGAAATCGTGCAAGAGGACGACGGAGTCAAGCTCCACAAGCTATCCAACGGTGTTTTCGTCCTCGAGAATAAGCGACTCAAGGTCCGTGTCGAGGCCGGCACCATCACGTCCCTCTACGACAAATACGACCGGCGCGAGGTCATCCCTGAAGGCCAGCGCGCCAACCAGTTCGTCATATTCGACGACAAGCCGCTCTACTGGCAAGCCTGGGACGTCGAAGTCTATCACCTCGACACGCGCAAGGAGCTCCAGTCCAGCGAGACCCAAGTGCACGAAGAAAAAACGCATCGCGTCAGCGTCATCACCAAGACCAAGATCTCCGAGCAATCCCACATCTCCACCATCATCAGCCTCTCGGCGGCTGTCAACGAGCTCCAATCCTACATCGAAGTCCAATCCACCGTCGAATGGCACGAAACCATGAAATTTCTCAAGGTCGAATTCCCCGTCGACATCCGTAATACAGAAGCTTCATACGAAACGCAATTCGGCATCGTCCGCCGCCCGACCCACTACAACACCTCCTGGGACATGGCCAAGTTCGAAGTTTGCTGCCACAAGTTCGCCGACCTGTCTGAACATGGCTACGGCGTGTCCATCCTCAACGACTCCAAATACGGCTTCGCCACCACCGGTTCTCTCATGCGCTTGTCCTTGCTCCGCTCCCCCAAAGCCCCCGACGCTCATGCAGATATGGGCGCGCACACCATCCGCTGGGCCATCTTCCCGCACACGGGCTCCCTGGGTGCCATGACCGTCCGCAAAGCCTACGAATTCAATAATCCGCTCAAACTCCTCGAGTCTCCGCACTCTTTCGCTACCCTCGACGAACAGGAACCACCCGTCTGGTTCACCGATAACTCGAACCCATCCCTGATTCTCGACACAATCAAGCGCGCTGAGGATGATGAGGATGTCTCTGTTGAAACGCCCGAAAGTCCGGTGAAAAAGAAGAAGGGACAGAGTGTGATTCTGAGAATCTACGACTCGCTTGGTGGACGCGCGAGGGGAACGATCGAGACGAGGTGGCCGGTCAAGAGGGTGAGTAAGGTCAATTTGCTGGAGGATGAGCTGGAGGAGGTCAGCGGGTTTGATGTGGCGGAGGGGAGATTCGAGGTTGATTTGAGGCCGTTTGAGGTTGCTAGTTATCGGTTAGAGTTGGCTTGAGTTTCCAGTCTGTTTCTCTCTTGGTGTCTCTTGATGACTCCGGTTGGTTGCTGGATGTGGGGACGACTTATGGAGCTATGTTGGGTGAGCATAAGGGGGAGTAAACGGTGGGAGTGATGTGATGTCTGTAACGATGCGATGATTGCTATGAAATTTTTCGGTAATAACGAGAACCACGAGAAGTCAATTTAGTAAAAAAAGCTAGGAAACCACAAAGGGAGGGAAACGACAGAGCGTATTATCTATGTAGGAGGGTAAGTAAAAGGGGAAAGAATAGTGGCGGCGAAAACTCGATAAACGGGGTGGAAGAAAGAGAAAGTGTAGGGGAAGGCGACAGCCGTGGTGGAATAAGACCGGATCGGTACTGTTGGAGATTGGGTATCTGGAGGGATGATCGGCCGTATCACTAGCCCTCGGGTTCCATGATCAAAAGAAGTGTGTTAACTGAACATTTTACGTTCACATTGAAGTTATCTTTTCCTTGCAATTGTGTCTCGTAAGCGTGAAATTCGTTGGCCCCCATAATATGGCTGTCAAGTACTTGTCAGTATGTGTAGGAATTTGGCACATTGTCGACTCGAACAACTTGCAGTGGTATAGCGAAAAGGAAAATTGATGAACGATTTCTTTTAGAGGCTGAGAGTTTTACTACCTTGCTAGCATAGAGGATTGAACGCTATATATTTGTCTCAAGACGGCACCCTGATCTAATTCCAATTACTTAGAGGTCATGCTTCGTCAGAACACCAGGCCAAGGGGCCTTTCCTCCTTTCAGACACTTTGCTGCACTTAATAACCGTCTGATCCTCTTTTTGCGATTGGATGTTCTAGTGTCGCTCCCGCCTGGCAGGCCTTGCTCTTGTTTTGGCCGTCCTGGAAGACTTGCCGTTGACGTACTGAAGCATCATCCTCGCCCACTTCGGTAATCTCTCGTAAAGAGACTTCCATTGACGAAGTAGTTGTCGGTGATGTTGAAGCCCCAAGTATGTCTAAACAACCAATTCCAATTTTACTGGCGAGATGGAGCTATCGGGTGACTGCAGAAACACGTCGAAAGCTGTGCTCGAACAGGCTCGGGCTTTTCTTGAATTTCATCCTATTCCAATTTCATCCATGTGGATTGCGTCTTTATGAATCACAGGCACAATAAACCGGACCTCTTATCCAGTGTCAAGTATATGTGACAATTTCGAGTTATTGATTGCTTTGGACCCCAGTATCTTGATCGTTCTTCCCCTCGGCATCTTGAAATGCCTTCCACCCCCGTACACTGATTTGAGCCTTCGGAGCTTTCCGACGGCACCGATGAACACCCTTTCACCACTTGGCGCCCAAAACAAACCTACAAACTTGATGAAGAAACGCTTCTACTGCGACTTCTTGTCTTCCACTGGCTGGGGCTGCTGCTGCTGCTGTTGCTGCTGGCCATCATTCTTCTTATCCTTCTTATCGCCCTTGGCAAAGTCGTCCTTCTCCTTAGACTCGGCGTACCATTGGCCAGCCTGCAAGACCAGGACTCCTACCAGCACCATGGCTAAAATGGTGTTGCTAGCGCTGAGCACCTTCATAGTATCCTCCCTGCCGAGAATGACCTCGCCCGAGACGGGGCCGTCGTGCTTGATGCCAGCAAAGTCTTCCATGTCCCAGATGCCAGCAGTGATGGTGCGCATTCCCTTGACGATGTTGCTGGAGTAGACGCCCACTCCGATGACGTACAGAATGAGCGACGCGCCGTCGAACAACACGTTGGATTCGGCCGGTCGGAAGAGCTTCATGAAAAATCCGAGGAGGCCAACGAAGATGACAATGTTGAGGATGCGCGAGATGATGAGAGGCGAGGCGTGGAGGAATTTGACGTGCGTCTCGAGGAAGTCGTAGTACGTGGCCTGAACGGGCTCCGAGGTCCAGAGCAACGGGAAGTCATAGGGAAACTGCGCGAAGAGTATGCCAAGGAAGAAACAGACGGCTGTTCAGTTGTATGCCAATGTTAGCGTAAACCGTGACGAGCATGGAGGGGAGAGGGACAGCAAGTTGGAAGCAAGCAGAGAAAATTGACAAACGTACGACCGATGATAATGAAGGTTGAGAAGGAACCAGAACCACGATAGTCCTTGGACTGCGTGTTTTTGTTCCAGTCTACCCAGTGACTCTCCGACATTGTAGCTGATTCTCGTGAACTCGGACGGTGGCTTTATCGGTAGGGTGATAAAGCAAGGATGGAAGGAATGATGAGAGAGACAATCGGATGCTCAGAGATGCTATATGACGAGGGAGGTGTTGGCTTTTGAACGGGTTGGAGACGTTGTAGCTGTCCTTCCCAAGCCGAGCGCAAAAAGTTGGGAACGCGCAACGCTTCTTTTTACGTATTTTGAGCCTAGGTAGATAAGGCCTTGCTGGGTTCTTGCCACTAACGAACGGCACTGACAGTTAGGGGCAGCCGCACCGGACGAATGACAGACAGCGGGGTCACTGCTTATTTCAACCACTTCATGAAGGAACCCGATCCGAGTCATCATCCTCTGTGGTCGTTCTTTTCGCGGATTGAACCGTACAAGCACAGTCCAATATGGTACTGGTTTGTTGGTTACCTACTTGTAGCTCGAGGCTTCGGGTCAGCTGCTCTAGGCGCTGATTGTGTCGTTTCGTTCCATTATCAGAGGTGATCTTACCTCGAGGTTGAATATGCTATTCCCAACCCTTGATATGTCATGTTAAACCTTTTTGATGGCTTTTTGAATCGTGCCTATCCCTTTATTTTATCCTTACCAAATTCGGGAGAATTTGACATCGATTTCGTCCAGCATTGCCAGGAACACCGGCTGGAGTTGGCGAACAAACTCGCATTGCATCGATGTAGAGGAAGCAAGAAGTGAGAGAAACGACCGTGGTAATCACATCTTGCAGACATAGTGTCACAGTTACCACAGTGGCATGTCGCAACGTCATGCGATAGCGCTACCAACACGAGAGGTCTATTGCAGGGCGCTGGATGTGAGTTGGCTTTGTTACCGAGAATAGATGGAAGAACCTACCTCTAGCGTTTCCATCTGGTTGCGCCAGGATCAAGACGAGGCCACCTCCTGCAGGCACCATCTCATGGGATGTCCCCGGGCGCCCGAGAGCCCTTGATAACCGCACAGGCCCAGGCACACAAGCACCGGTGTGAGGATCCATGGGCAGTCTCTTGTAGGTACTTTGTTTGTACTAGGTTCTTCATCCCATCTTCCACTGTCGTGAACAGTCCTCCACAAGATCCGTAGATCAAACGCTCCATAATACCTACCTCCAGGGACATCTCGAGAGTTCATCTGTCGAGGAGCTCCATGCCGTGCTTGTGGTATCTGTCGCCTACCGGAGCGAATTCCTTAAAGATCCTTTCCACATCAGCCATATCCTCCTCCGTCAGCTCTCTCTCCACAGCATTCTCGCGAACGCGCTCCGGCGATGAGGCACCAGGGATGGGGATGATCGTCGGCATCCCAGGCCGTTTAGAAAGGGCCAATATCCAGTTGATGGCGAATTGAGCTGGTGTACATCCTCTTCTCGCCGCGAGTTCCTCTACCTTCCGAACGAGTCGAAGATTTGTCTCAAAAACTTCAGGCTGGAATCGAGGCAACATCCTCCGGAAGTCTCCCTCGGGGATATCGTCAAAGGACTTAACTTGCCCGGTCAAGAAGCCCTTGCCAAGTGGGCCTGTGGGAAGTCTGTGTCAGTTTCGCGAACGGGCGGAAAAGCAGCACAAAGCATTCATAAAAGGGACATACTGTATGCAAGAACAGGAATATTAAGCTCAGCGCAAGCCTCAAGCACGCCGTTCTCGAGAGGCTCAGTATTCCAGATGGACAGCTCCACCTCAACGGCTGTGATCTTGGCCACCTTTGCAGCTCGACGGATCGTTTGGGCGCTGACCTCGCTCAGCGCGATGCCCCCGATATCCCCGGCCTGAATGTGCTCGTCCATGGCCTTCATGGTCACTTCAATGTCCACCTTGGGGTCTTTTCGGGCCGCCTCAAATTGATCGATCCTTCCCTTGCCCCCGATCAGGCGGACCGAGTTCTCAATACTGGCCCGAACACCTTCAGGCGAGGAGTCCGCCAGCAAGCCCGGAAGCATGCAGCCCTTGACGTTGAGGAGGATCTTGTCTACATCCTCTGGATATTTGTTGCAGTAACGCTTGAGCACGGTAAGCGAGTTGTGGTCTGGAGGGCCGTAGAACTCGCCGCCGTTGAAGTAGTTGCAGCCGGCATCGAGAGCGGCCTTGATGACGGCAAAGATTTCCTCGTCCGATAGCTTAGATGCTCGCCATGTCAGGCCTGATGATTCTTGTCAGCATGTTATTGCCCGCGGAGATTGGTTGCTCTGGACTTCATACCCATCAGGCCAAAGCCTATATTGCCAACTTTCTTTCCTTGAATGGTCACCATGTTTCCTGTTACAGGTAAGTATGATGGAGCCTAATGGGAAAATGAAGAAGGGAAAATGGATATGGTCAAGCTAGTTATGCGTTGACTGATACGCCAAGTCGGCGGCCGCCCCGATGTCACTTTGCCGGCCCACGTAAGATGTGGGTCCCCCGGACCCGGGCAATGGGCGGGGAAGTGGGGTAAGTAGAAGCGGAAGCGGGCGGGCAGCACAGTCCCTGTCCCGGCACGCCCGGATCAAGTCCCAAGGTGTGTACCATAGTACAAACATCAGCAGGGGTGATGGATGAATTATAACCTCTGGGCTGGATCTTCAGGTAGAGGTAGCTACGTGAGGTGTTGAAAAACAGCCCGGAACTTCCCAGTCATAATCGCAGGTGGTGGCCAAGCGCACAGCTCAGGCTTTCTGCAACCCTTCCCTCGGGCGGATATACTTTTGTGACTTTTGTCCTTGCGTCAACAATTTAAAGGATGCTACGATCTTTGAAGGAGATAACGACTTAAATAACCCGAAAATCAACGGGGAAAGCTGCCATTCCGGGCCGAGACGAACGTCGATGCGTGACCGGGATCCACTGAAGGGTACAGTTCCTGCGGGGACCCGGACAAGGCCGAGTGCAGGATGACGCCAACAATCCTTTCCTGGTTTGTGCAGCTCAAGTTCCCTGGACCAATGTATCTTGGCCCACATGCGTTCGTGCCATTCCTCGAGTCGCAAATCAAGTGAACGTCTTCGCCGCAATCTGTGCGCTTTCGGCCAAATTCCCATAGAACAATCTTCAGTCAGATCGCAATCCTTGGCCCCGTTGACACCATCGTCCGACGTCTCATTGTCGTGTTGAAATCCGCACATTTGCTCGTGCAATCGCGTAAGACCACGTACTTCACGTGCAATTGTGGTATGGCCGACGACAACCAGCGGCTTGCGACCTCAAGGTCAGCGCCAGCCCTCCACGCCTCTCCTTCCACAACCAAGGTGCCTTCTGAGAGTACCGAACCAGAGCCATATCTGGTCCGCCACGGCTCTAAAACTTTTCGGGCTCCGCGACGAACGTCAACCCAAGAACGTCTCGATGAAATTCTCAAGGTCAGTGACACATCCCAAACGCCTGCAATCAACAGTGACCGGGACACATATCGGTGGCTGGATCCAGATGCCAAGAATCCAAGCTGGGGACCCAGACGAGCCAGACTCCTTGAGAGGCTCTCACCGGGCTGTTGGCGAAAGTTGCAAGCTTCAAAGTTGTCTCAACCATTGAACACGCCCTTTTCGACATTGCGATTCCGGACATTCAGTCGTCCAGCTCATCGAGACTGCACTGTTTCTCTCGAATTATACCGGCGTTACTATACTCGGCGCAGTTGCTGGCATTCTTGCCCGAAGACATGCTTAGTCGTACTGTTCGTAGCCCGTCCGTCCCTTCATCGATGCCGGGCTCGAGCGTTTTCCACCCGGGAGACAACAAGAAGCGGCCAGTGATCTTAGCGGGAAGACTGATGCGGTGACTAACATTTGTGATCGCATTCAGGCTGCCCGCCAGAGGGCCGAAGCGCTCGACACTGCCAATCCTGGTCTACAGCAACAGCCTCTGCTATCACCTCTCCTGTCGCCTCGTACCACTGAGACCACCGGAGTTGGCGAAGATACACAACAAGGCATCGTAACAAGCCAACCGCTCAATTACCAAAGTATGGTACAAACACCTACATCCAACTCGTCGGCGCGCCAAAGACAGACAGCAAGCCAATCCGCCGCCCATAGTCCGGGGGCACAAACGTCATTGACGTATTCAAATCACGAGGGTGAAACTGGGAATGGGTCGACCGAGCACCATAAAGTGAGCAAATGGAAGAAAAGGCTGGAGTATTTTCAGAGCATTGAGTTAGAAAATAAGGGTAGCGTCGCTCGTGACCATCTTGCTTTGGGTGAGTCTAGGCAACCAAATGCCATCCTTTATATTGCAGCGCAGCAGGCTGACTTTTTGCGTCTACAGAACGAACGTTTCTCGCATGGCTACGAACCTCATTAGCGTTTGCATCGATAGGCATTGCCGTCACTCAACTCTTCCGTCTCAACACATCGTTATCGGACGGCAACGACGATACTCACCATTCGGAAACACTAAGGCACCTGGGAAAGCCGCTTGGCGCAACGTTTTTGGGTATTAGTATCTTGACGCTGTTTCTTGGATATAAGCGCTACCTGGTGGGACAACACTGGGTGATAAAGGGCAAGTTCCCAGCCAGCAGAGGGACGATTATGCTGCTATCATTCATTGCCTTGGCGGTGATAGTAGCATCATTGATAGTGGTGCTCGCGGTACAGAGTGCCGTGGACGCACGAGGGTAGGAAGCGTAAGGTGAGAGAGCCTCTGCTACAGGCAAACTAGGCCCGTTACATACGATATCTGTGACCCCTGAACCGGACATTTGCCAATGCTGTCAGCGATGCAACACCGTAACCGAATGGCGAGGTGACGCCGCTAACGACAGCCGCATCATTCAAGCCGCTAAAGTTGTAGGCCGGGGCTCAAAAACATGGCGACAACACGGTTCGCCTTTCTCTGGGTGAACCAAAGACAGAAAGATTAACGAAAAATAATAATATTACCTGGACACAAATGATCAGATGCACCTCGGCTCTTTTTCCTATCCAACCAACGGGAAAGCATCGATGGCCTCCGGAGAGTCCTTCTCTTGGGCTCTCCGACTCTCCCGTGATAGCATGGGAGAATTCCCTGATGTGCTCCGCTGAAAACGTGTTGAGTGGGGGCTGCTGCCAGGGCGCCAGGGGAAGCACGTTCAGGCATCGTCCAGTTTGCAGACCGGGCCGGACTGGTGTCGATCTTCAACCAGGATGTACATATTTCAACCAAAGAACTGAATATCTCTTGGTAGCTGAAGGTGCTACAATGCCCAATGAAAACTGCTTTCTCTCCAGTGATGGAAAAGGAGGGATGCATCTTGACATGAATCTTTCCCCTTCGTCGTGAGAGGAAACATGTCGTGAATTTTACTGGAAGATGGATGGGCTTTGCCTCTTGACGGCCCTCCAAACCGACAACCAATGGCTTTGTTTACGTCCAGGGGCAGTGAACGGATGGGTTGACAGGACATTGCCCCTGGGGCAGTTTTTTCCTAGGTAGGCATTATCCGCTCTTGCAGGAGAAGCAAGCCTCAAAGGGAGTTAACAGCCCAGTGACATTGACAATGACGCCTGACCGGTGACCTGCCGTCGACATCAACGAACCTGTCGTACCTGTTTGGTTTGCATGGTTAGATGAGATGCGGCAAGCCGCTGGCCAGACAAAAACAGGCGTCGGGACGGTACGTTATGTCTAGTATGTAGTGTACATAGGTACTTGGTTTCTCTTGCAGCTGCATTGACACGATATCTGAGGTTCCTTCTGGCCAACGTTGCCCATAGTGTTGTGATATTGCTTCCCTGTCATGTTCGGTCCCATTACTGTGCAACATCCTTGTTTGTTGGACTGGTAAGGATTACTTGATAATGGGAAGGAAATCCATGATACTGATCAGTTGTTATCCTTCTTCCATTCCTTCTCTTTCTCATCGGTCATTTGGCCTCAACGGCGGGCGGCGTCGCATTATCAACAATTCAATTCACCAATTGTGCTTCTTTCTTCTTCCATTCAGTTCACGGGTTCACAACAATTCACGATCGGCAGGTACGTGTGCGCCATGGCATACCATCAGCTTTCACCCCTTTCCAGGTCGGGACTTCTCGCTTCTAGCCGCGGGACCATACCCGTCTTATCCTGGATCAAATTTCGATTTGAAATTATTTCTTTGATGGTTGACAAGTCTTTGGAGATGATCATAGGAAGTCTGTCCCTCCCCCGCGGATCCGTAAATTAAACCTTCTTGCTCATAGTGGGGGAAGACATCGATCCTTTCTCCCTCCACCTTCTTCTGAGGGTCCAGGATTGATAGCCTATCATCATCCAAAAGCGACGTCAACGCATGAGAGGAAGCCGGCGCGTTGACGAAAACAGATTCAGGGCCGAGGGAGCCTTTCATACAAAGCGGTGCTAAGAAAGAATAAAAGAAGCATACGGAAGCTATAAGGCGGCTACGCTACTACAGGCGATTCACATTGTCTCGGTCTCAAACAAAACTACCGAGAGATCACCCGTCGGTCTCTTCCACAAGCTTTCTACTTACCTACACTACTACCGCTCACTGCCAGACGGTCCCGTCCCGCTCGTGCATCTCACCGTCTCGAGCAGCAGACGCAGTCACCGAGGTACATACCTACCTACCTACCTAGCTAGGTGGGATTCTCTCCACTGTCCGCACGGCAGGCGCACTCACCCCCTGGACAAGAGGCTCCATCTCGCTACTTTTTAGTGGACGGGTACCGCAGACGCGGGTCACACAGCCAAGGCAGGCGCTGTTAGCGAGCCACACACCCCGTGCACGCATCGAACCGTCCTGTGCACTGCAAGCACGAGCACCGGGCGGTCAGGGGCGATCGCTCAGCAGGAGCTTCCGAGAGGTGGGCTCAGGTGGGGTGTGTAAACAAGAGCGGGACTCACCTCACTTCTGACCTGAACCTTGTTCATCTCCCGCCAGACGCACACTGTTTGGTGACTGGCCTTCGGTCGGCATCTACTAGTCGACTAGTCCTGCTAGTCTATCCCCTACCCCTAGCCGAAGTACTGTACCAGACAGGCCGACTTCGACCGCCTTTGCAGGTCGGTGGCCGCCACAAAGCCGGTCCAAGATGACCTCCACCACCACCACAGCAACTTCCACCACCTACACGACCACTCCCAAACCTAGACTCGGACTCTCGAAACCAGCACGCACCGGCCGAGGCCTCAGCGGCATAGCTACAGCATCAACCCCGAATCTCAACCAGCTCTACTCGTCCCAGTCTCCGTCTCTGTCATCATCGCGCCTTGTCCCGCCGGCGCTGTCGCGCAAGGCTTCCTACGCCGCCCTCACGCAAAACTCTCTGGCCACCATCCCCGATGATACCGAAGCCTACGCTCTTCATTCCGTCCTAAACACCACCGACAACGACGCGATGCCTCTTTCTATCAACCCCGGCACCATGAGCACCGGCGACGAGATTGCTATTGGTGACATGGTCGAGGTCCCCGGCAACATGACCGGTACTGTTCGCTTCATCGGTTCAGTCGATGGGCGCAAGGGTATCTTTGCCGGAGTCGAACTTCACCGCGAGTTTGCCTCTCGCGGAAAGAACAGCGGTGATGTCGATGGGTAAGCGGACAATTCTCCAAAATGCTTATTCTGGAAGGGGGCCTGGACTCGAGCTAATACGCAAATCTTTGCCAGTGTCTCCTACTTCAACACCAGCCTGCCTGGGGCTGGTATTTTCCTCCCCCTATCCAAGGCCGTCAAGCGGGATGCCGGCAGCGGCTCCCTCCCTCGCACGCCCACCGATCTTGTCCCACCCGGACCCGCGTTGAAGCTCGGAGGCCGTGCGCCGGCTACCCCCTCTATACGAAAATTCAGCCAATCTGTCGGGCCCGGTGCTGTCCGTCCGGAGTCGCCCATGAGGCGACTGCAAATGACCCCCGGATCGCGCACTTCGCTTGCCACACCAGGCCCTCCAGGACGATTCCCCAGTCCACAGCCTAACAAGTTTTCTCAGAGCGTTCGCGGAGTGCCTGGAGACACGGGCAAGCGACTGCCCTCACATACGAGGAAAGGTAGTGTCGGACCTCGTAGTATCTCCTCCCTTGGCAATGCTCACCAGCCAAACTTTGACGATGAAGATGCTGCTTCTGTCAGCGGACACAACAACGGAGGTGTCACTGCCGGGTCTATCCCAGGAATGAGGTTCCGCGCCCCCTCGCGGGCAGCCTCGCGCCTTGGTAATGCCCACGAAGAGGAGCTAGAGAAACTCAGAACTCAGCTTGAAGACCGCGAGAGGCAACTGAGGGACCAGGCAGCAACACTGGTCGAGATGGAAAGCAGTCTTACCGAGCTTCAGGCTCTCATCGAGAGCTCGGAAGGCTCGTTGCGCGATCGATCACGACACGAAGAGTTCGAAGATAAGGATGTTGCTCAGCTTCGAGCATTATTGCAGGAAAAGAACGACAAGATTGCCCTGCTGACTGCCGAGTTCGACGCACACCGGGCCGACTTCCGGAGCACTATCGATACCCTGGAGCTGGCGAGTTCAGAAACCGAAAGGATCTACGAGAAGAAGATCGAGGAACTTATGCAGGAGAATCAGGAGCTGAGGGAACGAACCGAAGATGTAGATGCCGTTGCTATACAGCTTAAGCAACTGGAAGAGTTGGTTCAGGAGCTGGAGGAGGGCCTCGAAGATGCCCGTAGAGGGGAAGCAGAGGCCCGGGGTGAGGTTGAATTCCTCCGTGGAGAGGTAGAAAGAACGCGTACCGAGCTCCGCCGGGAAAGGGAGAAGGCGCAGGCCGCTATCAATGGCGCCAATGGCTCCCCAGACAGCGGCCCTCTTGCCAAGGAACTTGAACAGAAGGAGGACGAGATCAGAGGCCTTAAGGCTATCATTCATTCACTCAGCAGAGATTCTGCTCCCGGTGATGATGATGATGATGATGATGCCATGACGCCAACCGCCAAGACCGGCGAATCTATCGAGGATCGCCTCGCTCGTGAGAAGCTCGAGCGCGAGGTCGCGGAGCTTCATGCCATGCTCGACAGCAAGGCCAGTCGCGAGGAGGAGCTTGAGCGTGAGATTGAGATGCTGCGGAGAGGCAACGCTGTAAGCGAGTCGAACCATCGTTCAAGCACCATGACGGTCGGCAGCAACAATGAGCGCAGCTCGCAGCGTGAGTCACGAAGCATTGTGGTACCTGTTCCCCAGACTACGGACAAGGCCCTCAGGAGCCGGGGATCAACTCTCGAGGCGATGCCCGAAAGTGACTCCTACAGCGCCGCAACCGACAACGGCGCTCTCTGGTGCGAGCTCTGTGACACTTCTGGCCACGACATCCTTAGCTGCACCAACATGTTCGGTTCTGCCAACGCGACCGAGAACGCCACCCACAAGCAGCAACAGAGCAAGTCGCAGTCTCTTGCCTCCGACCTCGAGGACGATGACGAGGAGGCGGACGAGGACAAGGACGATATTGTCAGCGCCGTCGGCTCTATGGCTATTTCCACCAAGGACGACGACATCAAGCCGGCGCCCCTTTCCCCTACCAGGGCCAGGACGCAGCCACTGACTCCTCAGCCTGCCGCCGCCGAGCCCACTTCCCGGTCTACTACTCCCTTGGAGCCTATCCCCACGGATCCCATCGTGCCATCTGTCACTGTTGCGAAGGCAGCGCCCCTGCCCAACCTGATGGAGTCGGGTCCCGTAGCCGGCAA